TTTAGCTCGGAAGATTATTATTTCTTTATGACCTCGTGTTATAGTAAATAAATGTTTCAGAAAAACAAAATGGCGGATGGAGTTCGCTCACAGTTCAGGTACAATTTATGTTGTAATGATTGCAATATACACTCTTAAATCGATAGAACTGTTCAACAGTTCAGTTTATGAGTGTGTTGGACTAGATTTTGTGTGTATGCAATATATATTCCTGCTAAATATCTGTTTTTTCTTCTCTCTTCGTCGCGATCTGAAAAAAATACTTCTACTACTTTGCGCATGCGCTTTCTCTCCTGGTGTATAAAATAACAGTTTGATGGTACAATTTACAAAAGCCGATTTTTTAAAATTTATATTTCATGGTAAAACCCATTTTGAAGGTTCGGCGGGAATAAAAAATCGAAAAAATCGGGTCGGCGGATCCGTTAACCAACAAATTAAAAAAAACCTGGCCTTAGCTTTTGGGGAGTATGGTGACCCCAGTCATGTATTATTCATCGTGTGTTTGTGGCTACTAGGTATACGACAAACTAGTGAGTTTACAGAACAGAGCCATTAGAACATTTCTTGGTATCGGATAAGGCGCACCGAATCCAGCAATTTGTGGTGACATGGGTTGGACATCATCTCCCTATATTCGTAGGCGGTGTAATATTATTACACTGTGGCATCGAATCATGAGTATAAACTTCAGTAGATTGTCCTTCTGAATTCTTGTATGGTACTCCGTGTTCTCAACGACACATAAAACACTTGGTATAATGATCTAAAACAGTTGATGGAAAATTGTGGACTAAATAACCTGTTTAGTCAGCGGTAATACAACTAATGGACTAAGCGGAAAGTTCATAACTATTTTGTCTGAAATCATGATGATGGATAATTTCTACGAAAATTGGAAAAAAAGATGTCAACAATATGCCAAAGTTAGGGTCCCTAAAGTTACGGACATTTAACTTTGAAAGTTTACATTCAAATTTCGAAGCCCAATCGTATGTCAAGTTAGCCTTGGCAGGACAACAACGTTCTGCAATCGCTAGAATGAGAAGTGGAACCTATCCACTGGAGATTCGGAAGAAGGACGATACCGTGGAATCCAGGCTGACAGACGATATCATAAAGCATGCAAATCTTTTTCGACGGTTGAAGACGAAAAACATTTTCTTATACAGAGTCCTAAGTACTTATCGAAATGGGACATTTCTTTTGCTGACTTTCACCTGCGCGCATCTATCAACGAATTACTCGTCTTACTACTTACAACAAACAGTAAATATACTGACGGACTTTAAAAACGCAACACTAGATTATTCTTTTTAATTCTCATTTTCGAATATGCAATGTTTGTAAAATGAATGTATGAACATAAATTTTATTCATTACTTCATTGTCTCATTGTCTACAAAAAGTTTGCAGTTCGAAAGTTGAATTGATTACGTCATGGTTAATTTTCTAATCATGTGGTATGCACTAAAACCCTGGTTTTCCCCTTATCAATGGCTGTATCACCGTCGAAGGCAATGACTGCCTGTAACCAACGCCTAAATGATTGACAGAATGGTCAACCAGTTCTGTTGGGCATGTTTTGAGTTCTGTTTTGAACCCTCTGAATTGGCCTTAGTCCCATCCATTCAGTGTGTTTTTTGGCAATTATGCGGTTTAAACTTTAAGGCTTTAAATGTTTTTTCTGCAGTCGATTCTTTGGCATTTCAGTATATGGGAAACATTTATGCATGGCGTGAATCTGTCTGCCATGGCATTCAACAACTTGATTAGCAGTTGAAGTTGCGACCGTAAACATGTCTCGCAAATGGCGTTGCGTAATCAAATTTAATTGACGTTGCGTTGTCACTACATATTGATCTGGTCACGGGTGGTCATCAACAAATCCCGTCTGTCTGTACTGTTGTTGTAAGAACAGTAAGAGGAGTTTCTGACGTGAAATTGTCTAGCAACAGCACGTCCACGTATTCCTGCCTGCAATATTCGTATGGCCTGATTCAGATTTTTATTGCTCAGTCTCGGCAATATTGAAAAGCGACATTTTTTTACTGATTCGAGTGTGGGTATGGATTGAAAGAATTGTTTCACGAAGAAAAAACCCTTAAATAACAAAATCATTTATGGATTTCAAATTTCGATTTAAGAAATTCGTGCGACTTCAATAATCCGGTATGTTCAATAACCTCAGTATTTTTTTCTAAACAGAAAGAAGTATGATAAGCATGAATAGATATATGACGATCAATCATGATTTGGTAAAAAAAATCACCAAAATGTGTGTTGCGTTTTTGAGGTCCGTCAGTATATGTCTCGAATTATATAATTGATATCACCAAAAGAAGAGAGCAATTAATTTCTATTTGAATTTATAGACCTAAGGAATTACGTTTAATATCTTTTTTACTTTATTTTTCGTATTGCACATGTAATTATTGTGATTGAGTTTAATAGAAGTGCATCATAAGTCTTTGAATAGATATATATATAGATACATAAATCAATAATTTCAAATTGAAATCGTCTTCATATGAATCAGAAATTTGGAGAAACGAAAACCCCCAGATTAAAAAAAGCAAAGACTGGTCGGCTCGGAGTCCGAATAATGTGTCCGGGAGAGATGACATGTCTTCATGCGGACTGTTACCTTGTGAACTAGCACGGTAAAAATCCGACTCAGCGTGTAGGTCTAGTACAAAGCAAGGTTAATATTCATATTACATAAACATGTTCTCGTCCTGAATATGCATATTAATTTGCCGCTGGACGGTAAGCAGCCACCCATCATCATCATCATGTAACCAATTAAGACATTCATTTTGATTTGGATTCAATAAATGCCGAAGTCCTTATGTATTTGTCTGTCTTTTAATGATTTCGTGGACGTTAAACAACCAACAATCAATCAATTTTTATGATTTCGTCATTCTTCAACGATATAAAAAAAAACGGACCCAGCTTGCAAAAAAAAACATCTAGAGCAATTTTTCTAATAAAACCAAAACAAACAAATATCTTAAAAACTAGACGGGACACTTACCTCACAAAAACTATTCACCATACAAAATAAATACAAAAAAAAAACTGATGAACTTTTCAAAATACGATTTTGAAAGCCGAGCTGAAAATAATCTGTGATATAAGTTTTCTTCCAAATTTTGAAAGAAAGATTCTTCTTTCAAATTTTAATTCAAAATTCAAATATTTTTTTGGATAAAGCACGTATGATAAATATGACATTGCGTAATCAAAGTGTACCATATACATGATAAATATGACATTACGTAATCCAAGTGTACCATATACATGACAAATTATGTAAATAAAACATGCATACATAACAAGAGAAAATTAATGACAATGAATGATATGCTATATATATAACTAAAAGTCTGTTTTTGTATAGTATTTTCAAAACTTATGGTAGACCAACTGACACTAAGCGTTATAACTTCAAAAGCTTGTCTCACTTATACTTACATATTTGTTTGTCATTAGCCAAATTATTTGGATTAAGTATTAGTAAATAGATTATTGATTTGATATCATCATCTTTAATCAAATTTTGGAAGATACTAAATTTCTCTCGAAGGTTTTTAGACATTAACGTTGCTGTCAAAGAAAGCACTTTTTTTTCTTTGTAATCGTAAGTTGAACTTTTTTTGAGCATCCATTCTGGGCATGTTGCAAAAATACTTTTTTTGTTTTAAAATTATTTTACTAAGTATCATTCAGTATGCAGCAAAAATATCTAAAACTTGAAATTGAAAGATTAAACTATCAAAACTGTGGTAAAGTGTATTTAAATTTTGAGAAAAAAAATCCTTTTACTGAAATTGATAGGACAATATGTGTTTTTTTTTTTTTTTTTTTTTTTCAATAAACAAGGCGGCTTAGGCTTGTGATCCCCTATTTTTATTTGATATTTCAGAAGTATTAATGAAAAGCAATTCTCTCGTTGAATTTTAGCTAATTCTATCGTTTAATGTTTCCTCAATAAGGAAAAACAAGTTTCCCCTGATTCCCCTTTAACAATGTAATATAAAATAACCCCCATTTCCTTAATTTCAAGGTATTTTAAGGAAAAAATAAGGTCCGTGACCTCCAGTTTTTACATGAATGTACACTGACCCAGAAGCTACGTAAACGTAAATCGTACGATTTTTGTGAAACGCTAGCCAGGAATCGTTGCTGCGAATAAACAGGTGTCTTTAGCAGCTTTAATTTGATTTCTAGACAAATTTCCTGTTTAAATTCCTAAGATATTTCGAGGATCAGTTGGGTAAGATCTTATTGAGGAATAGGTATAATGACATTATCCCCCACAGCAATTTCTCATGATAATTTCCGTTTCGATTTCCTTGTAAGATATTCGGCTTGGGTCCGTTGGCCAGACAGTACACACTTCCTGGCACAAACTATAAGTGCAAACTGAACAATTTTTTGGACAAATTACAATTTGCACAAAGTTAACATGCACATTATAATTTGTAAATTTTTTTGGTACAAATTATAGTTTGTACAAAATGATTTATATAACTTGTACCAGAGACATATGACTTTGTATGTCTCTGCTTGACGTGCACAACATAACACATAAGAACCGAAACAGTTGAAAATATATATTAACAAAAAGGACCTAGAAATAATAACCAAATACATCTAACGTCAACTTTGACTGCGGGAGTTGAAACATTAGTTTCTTAATAATTTCTAAAATTTAAGTAAGCTTTGTATAAATCATGTCAGTACCGAAGTACTGAATTGATGATAGACCTCATGATACCGTCGCGGACTGAATTCGTCCATCACTGGCATCAGCAAACAGAACAACAACCGAAATTAAGGTTTTATGGTCTTGAACATTACCTCTGAGACTACTATAACACATGTGTCAAGGCATAGTACTCTCAGATCACCTGTAAAATTGGTACTGGTAACATGGACGTGGAGGAATATCATCGTCTTGGTTTGCATGATCAAAGGGAACTAACTCTTACCTGTTCTAAATAAAATTTTCTTCAAAGTCGTAGATTGCCTCCCATCAACTACCGAAGATGAACGTGTTGAGTTCTGGCACCTTTGCTAGGTATGATATGTTATATTCTGTGGGAAACTTTTCTCAAAGTATCGAAAATCTAATTACATTTCTGAATAAACTAATCACTAATGGAACGTTCCTAGGTTCAAAGACCTGCGTTCCTTGTGAAAATAAGCAAAGATAACATAAATATATATAAAAACAGTGCTTGGATCGGAATATAACCGACAATTTTCCGTGTATAGTATATTTTCCCCCAACGCGAAAGCTTTGAATCAAGGATTTGTATAGTGTATCACTATACACTATATTTAAATCCTTGTTTGAATGAATATGTTCTTTTTCCAACATAAATTGTTAACAGTTGTGAATAATATAACAACAGACTGTGGTGTACTCTGTGTCAGAGACAGAGGTATATGACACAATTCAGAATTATGACAATTTATGTCCAGAAAATCATGTGCACCTGGAAAAGTTAAGACACGACTGGTCCTAGATATATAAAAGCAGAGACATCTCTGATACAAGTTATATGCAAGGTGTATTTTGCAAAGTACATGGACTAATACCTGGGACTATTATACTATAATATATATATATAGTATAATAGTCCCAGCTAATACATATATTTTTTTATCAATATTAATTGGTAATCCTAAGAGGTTTTAAAAACATTGTAAACCCATGTTTGAACAGAGAAATACCCCCAGAAACAGCCATTTACATGTAAATTTTGCTGGGCAATCAAATTGAAAAATAATTGTACAGTGGCGGATCCAGAAATTTTCATAAGAGGGGGGCTCAATCAAAAAAGGGGGGGGCTCTTCTTGCCCCCTGGAAAACCCTCTAAATCCGCCTCTGTTGTATTATTCCCCCTTTTGTGGTAGATATACACATGTATTGTATTGATTCCCCTTTTGTGGTAGATATACACATGCATTGTATTGATTCCCCTTTTGTGGTAGATATACACATGTATTGTATTGATTCCCCTTTTGTGGTAGATATACACATGCATTGTATTGTTTCCCCTTTTGTGGTAGACATACACATGCATTGTATTGATTCCCCTTTTGTGGTAGATATACACATGCATTGAATTGCGTGATTCCCCTTTTGTGGTAGATATACACATGCATTGTATTGATTCCCCTTTTGTGGTAGATATACACATGCATTGCATTGATTCCCCTTTTGTGGTAGACATACACATGCATTGTATTGATTCCCCTTTTGTGGTAGATATACACATGCATTGTATTGATTCCCCTTTTGTGGTAGATATACACATGTATTGTATTGATTCCCCTTTTGTGGTAGACATACACATGTATTGTATTGGTTCCCCTTTTGTGGTAGACATACACATGTATTGTATTGATTCCCCTTTTGTGGTAGACATACACATGTATTGTATTGGTTCCCCTTTTGTGGTAGACATACACATGTATTGTATTGATTCCCCTTTTGTGGTAGACATACACATGTATTGTATTGATTCCCCTTTTGTGATAGATATACACATGTATTGTATTGATTCCCCTTTTGTGGTAGACATACACATGTATTGTATACCTGTTTATTGTTGAAGACTGTATATTGACTACTTGATGTCTTTTGGTTAGTTGTTTGTGTCATTGGATTGCTACCTCACTCATCTCATATACATATTTAACATACAAGGAACCAATATCAGAGTTGTCTTGTGTTCACTGATTCTTAATCCTACATGTACTTGTATGCAATACCCCACATTAGTGCAGAATACATGGAAGACCTTTACATAATTTCCATGATGTAAATAAGGTTGCCATGCTGTTTATACAATATTTTACAGCTTTTTTCAGTATGATTTAAAACAATTTCATTTGTTGTTACAGGTGTTCAGTCCTCACAAAACAATGGAGAAATGCTATGTTTAAAAGATGCATTAGTTCATCTTGTTTAAAAAGAAATAATGGAAATGTTTTGTTTACAAACAAGCTAAACAGTTTTACATACTTCCCAAGTCGCTGCTATCCATCTTCAGAGTATCCAGAGACTTTTGATCCTTTCAAGAAGAAAATGCCAGAGTTTGATCCAAATATTTCGAAAAGGAAATTCCAAACCATATATTTCTTTAAACCAATTAAAGTGGCAAAAATTTTGTCAATGTTAAAGATTTACCAGACTGGAGTTACGTTTGCCCTAGTTCCATACTCATTATTTATGTTTCATTCTCAACTTGCTGATTTTAATGTTATTGCTGCATGTGTTGGACTTTCAATATCTGCCACGGTTTCATTGTATTATATCAGTATGTATATACAAAATATTACAGGTATCATTGGTGTAAACGAGGATATGACAAAAGTTATGATTTCACATTTGAATTTCTGGGGCAAACGTGAGGATGAAATTTTCAAAAGAGAGGAGATTGTTCCTTTCTCGGACAGTGGAGAAGATGTGAAAAGTGACATTTATAAAATGATCACATTTTTTTCAAATGACCAGAAGTATTATCTTTTTGTGAATAGAGGCGAAGTGGTAGATAGAGAAAAGTTTGAAAATATTTTTGGAAGCTTGAGATAAATAAATGTTTCACTTTCATCTTCAAGATTTTAGTGACAAATAATTCAGAATAAAAGATGACATAATTCAAAGTTTCCTGTTTTAGAGGTAGAAAGGTGTGTCAATCAACAATCTGTGATTATATCATGAAATGATTTGTTAGATATCTGAAAAAAGAAAAATGACTTTTTAAGATATATTAGAGAATGTATGGCATGCCAACAACATGCAATACATGTACATGTACCGGTACATTGTATATATACTTTTCAAATTTTCAATTCTCAATTGATTTCCAAATGATAAAAAAAAATAGGATTTAAACATTTTTATGACTTTAAAAATCTTTAAGAAGACACTTCTCAGCTTGTTAAAATTAGCCTTATAAATGATTTGACTGTAAAAATACTTCTTTTTAGCTCACCTGGCCATCATTTTGCGTCTGTTGTAATCTAATTTTGTCAAACTTTTTCAAAGATCTTTTTCTATGAAACTACAGAACCAATTTCAACAAACCTTGAGGTGAGTGATCCTTAGTGTATTTAGTATAAAGTTTGTGTTTTTTCACTGGTTAGTCAACAAACATGTCCAACAGGGCTAAAAATAGAGCATAGGGGTAAAATGTATAAATTGTCTTTATCATGAAAACCATAACAGGTAGAGAAAATCTGAAAAGGTAAAAATACTCAGAATGACCAGATCTATACCTACTAATTTTCAGATGACTGTATGGAGTTATTGCCCTTAAAGTATATGACGGTTTTTAGATAATCTTCATGTTTTTGCCTTTTATCTTAAAAACTACATTAGATGGGCAAAAACTTATAAAGACAAAAATTATCAGCAATTCAAGAACTATAAAAATGCCACAATAACTGATACCATAGGATGACTTCTTAAACTTGTTTTGACTAATTTTTGTGTCTGTTGTGAAATTTTCAAAGATCTTCTCTGAATAACCAAACAAATTTCAACAAAAACCTATCTATTTTTTTGTTAGTACACCCAACTTGGTGCAGTGAAGTAACCATTTTTTGGGTCCTATCTATACTCTGCTATGTCAAATACTTAATCATTATATATATAACAGGCTATTATTTCAACTTGGAATTATTTTTAATTATGGAATTTGCATAATTTCTTGTGCTTGAAAATTTTAATAAATTCCATGTTTATTCTGTATTTTAACGTTCTGTGCGGGGCACAACACTTTCTATTACAAAGAAGAATGCACATTTTCAATAGAATGTACTGTGCGGTGCACAACACTATCTATATAAAATACATTGTATGGAAAGAGTTATGCACCGCTCAAAACATTATAATACAGAATAAACATGGAATTTATTAAAAATTTGAAGCACAAGAAATTATGCAAATTCCATAATTAAAAGTAATTCCAAGTTGAAATAAAAGCCTGTTAATTATGCAAATATCCAATTTTCAAAATGATGTGTATGTAAATTATATTTGTCAATTATAAAAATAAGAAGATGTGGTATAATTGCCAATGAGACAACTCTCCACCAGAGACCAAATGACATAGAAATTAACAATTATAGGTCACTGTACGGCCTTCAAGAATGAGCAAAACCCATACCGCATAGTCAGCTATAAAAGGCCCCGAAATGACAAATGTAAAACAATTCAAATGAGAAAACTAACGGCCTGATTTATGTAAAAAAAGATGAACGAAATACTATATGATATACAGCGACAAATGACAACCAATGAATTACAGGCTCCTGACTTGGGACAGGCACTTACAGAATGAGGTATAGTTAAACATGTTAGCGGGGCACCCAACCCTCCCCTAACCTGGGACAGTGGTGCAACAGCACAACATATAAACAAACTATAAAAATCAGTTGAAAAGGGCTTAACTCATCAGATTGATACGAAGAGGAAAAATAAACAACAAAAACACAGACAGGACGTGGCAGGGTATATATACATCCCTACAACAACAAAAACTAAGTACAGATCAGAGAGTACAATGTACTCGCAGTTATTGACAGCTACTTCAAAGCCAATAACAACTAATAAAAAAATCATATATCTAAGACTTAAACCATTTTATTGAAAAGTACACAAGTTACAGAAGACTACAAATTATGGACAATGGGATGTAACATGATTCCATATATTTGCTTCAGTATGTTTCTCTGCTAAATACAATGCAATGCTTTGACTTGCAGTTCTCAATGCACAATGAAATCAATATTTACAACGAAGTGTTCAAAATTGCTTTGAATCATAAATGTGAAGGACAAAAAATCTGCAGTAAGATCTGCACAGTTAGTCCCCATTGGAAAAAAATCACTTTATGGTATATCTTCAAGATAACATCTAGCTAAAAAATGGTTAACAAATTGTAACTCTTGTAACTTATAGTACCCAGAAATTAATGTCAACCAAGGATTTGTATAGTATTTGTCTTGCTATACAAATCCTTGTGTCAACCAACTTCAACAGATACAGTTAAGTCAGGTTTTTAGTAATCCCTGACTTAATAATGTACCAGTGATAAATGCAGAGTTCTGGTGATATGTTTGAGAACTATACTTATCATACACCGAATGGGTCAAGTACTGTTGATCATGTTATTCTGTCAGAGAGTATCCTGAACCAAATATTTATTTTAAAGTCTCAGATTTTTTACCAACATTGTCAGATACTCGCTGTAATCTAGAATGGGAATTTCTTGCTACATATAAGGGAACGACCATTTAACTTCAAGGGGGGTATGGTTTTTGTCGAGCCTTCGACTTTAGTCGAAAAAGCGAGACATAGCGATCCTACATTCCGTCGTCGTCGGCGTCGTCGTCGTCGTTGTCGGCGGCGTCCACAAATATTCACTCTGTGGTTAAAGTTTTTGAAATTTTAATAACTTTCTTAAACAATCCTGGATTTCTACCAAACTTGGACAGAAGCTTGTTTATGATCATAAGATAGTATCCAGAAGTAAATTTTGTAAAATTAAAATTCCATTTTTTCCGTATTTTACTTATAAATGGACTTAGTTTTTCTGCCGGGAAATATTACATTCACTCTGTGGTTAAAGTTTTTAAAATTTTAATAACTTTCTTAAACTATCCTTGGTTTGTACCAAACTTGGACAGAAGCTTGTTTATGATCATAAGATAGTATCTAGAAGTAAATTTTGTAAAAACATAAATCCATTTTTTCCTTATTTTACTTTTAAATGGACTTAGATTTTCTGCCAGGAAACAACACATTCACTCTGTGGTTAAAGTTTTTAAAATTTTAATAACTTTCTTATACTATTTTGGATTTGTACCAAACTTGGACAGAAGCTTGTTTATGATCAAAAGCTAGTATCTAGAAGGAAATTTTGTAAAAAAATAAATCCATTTTTTCCGTATTTTACTTTTAAATGGACTTAGATTTTCTGCCAGGAAACAACATATTCACTCTGTGGTTAAATTTTTTAAAAATTTTAATAACTTTCTTATACTATTTTGGATTTGTACCAAACTAGGACAGAAGCTTGTTTATGATCAAATGCTAGTATCTAGAAGGAAATTTTGTTTTCTTCCAGTTAACATTACATTCAGTCTGCAGTTAAAGTTTTTAAACATTTATTAGATTCATAAACTATCCTGGATTTTTACCAAACTTGGACAGAAGCTTCTTTCGATCAAAAGATGGTATCAAGAGGAATATGTTTATTGATTTACTTCCTCATTTTTGTTGAGCCTGCGATTAACAGAAAAAGTAGGCGAGACACTGGGTTCCGCGGAACCCTTACGAATTTTTTCCTAAAAAAATATTCTGATCCCCAATTTGATGAAAAAAAATATTGTGGTCAAGCAGATGATAAAAAAAATATATTATGAATCCAGACTTTCCCCATACCTTATAGTGTTAAATTTTGAAAAAAAATAATTTGATTGATAGCATCGAAAAACTAAAAAAAAAAATCTGACTCAGACAAAAAACCATAATCCCCCCTTGAGGTTAAATGGTTGCTCCCTAAGCAAGGATGAGTATCTCAAGACAATATTACACAATCCTTATCATCTAATTTTAAATGGGATAATGACTTGGCTACTAACTTTTTAATCAATGGCACTTGTGATCTGCTGACATTCAAAATGTTCTTCTTCTGGTATACAGTTAATACAACTTCATAACATTGATGATTACTTACATGCGTGGGGGATGTAAATAAAAATATATCAAAGAAAAGTGCAAAACAATAATAGAATTTACTTTGATGTGACTATGTACATGATCAAGAATTTAATTAGTTATTTAAGTCTATGTACATTGTAGAGAAAAGTTGGTGTCAACTGCTCTCTGAAGGATTCGATTTTTGGACATGCTATAATAACTTGTGGTAGCATATTCCACTGAACTATTGTATGAGGAAACCATGACCATTTGTAAGTTTTTTGTAGTAAAGATTTGCCGAAATGCTTGGTTTTGTGTCTGTTGAAATTAGTGCTATTGATGGTATTGCAATTAGTCTGTGTACGACCTTGTAAAACATGATAATTAGATATAAGAAGATGTGGTATGAGTGCCAATGAGAAAACTCTCCATCCAAGTCAAAATTTATAAAAGTAAACCATTATAGGTCACAGTACGGTCTTCAACACGGAGCCTTGGCTCACACCGAACAGTAAGCTATAAAGGGCCCCAAAAATTACTAGTGTAAAACCATTCAAACGGGAAAACCAACGGTCTAATCTATATAAAAAACGAGAAACACTTATGAACCACATCAACAAACGACAACTACTGAACATCAGATTCCTGACTTAGGACAGGTGCAAACAAATGCAGCGGGTTTAAACGTTTTAATGGTACCAAACCTTCACCCTTTTTCTGAAATAATAGTGTAACATCACAACATAGAAAAACACACTATAAAATATCAACTGAAATAGCTTAACTCAATCAAAGGACATATTAACACCATTGAACATACACTGGACAAATAAATTTGACCTATAATACAATGTAAATACAAAATAAATTAACTAAGGGAAGAATAATAAAAGTAACATGTTATATCGGTATGAAATGTTAAACAATTAAAGAAAAACAATCTGCTCGAACAAAAATATCAGCCGTTTGCAATAACTTTAAACACAGGTAAATGAAAATAATTTTGTTGTTAGGTATACGTATACAGTTCCAATAGAGAAAGGAAATATTTTTACAAAATAAATAATTTTGATGTTCATAGTACGAAGTGAAAATTTATAGTAATACCAAACACTTATAAAAGCTGGTATATAGACCAGATATAACCCTGAATAACATTAAATAACAAAAAAGCAATACAATTAGTATCAACAGGTCAAATAAACAAGAAAGTACGATTTGAGAGTACTCGCAGTAACTGACAGCTAGTTAAAAGCCAAAACAATTAATAATAAAAAGTCATGCATCAGAGACTAAAATCAACTAAAACACATCCCAGGGATTTAGTAAAAAAGTCTGGTTTTTAGATGGCGCTCTGCATGGAATGGCAATTCAACTTTGATTAACATATTTGTTGCATGTATAGCGGGCAACACGCCTCTACCATTTAAAGCTTTTTTATGTGTTCTGCTGTATGTGGATCCCATAGGCTGCAACTATATTCAAGTTTGGGTCTTATATTAATTTAAATGTTATATTAAAGTTATAAAAAAGGTAATTTTTTTCAGAGACAAGTGCCTGTGCCATACGTGTATTGTTCAAATACTCATATGGTCCGAAACATATATATATATATTCTTAAATAGTCTTTACTTGTACTAGGTTTGCAGACGATTCAGTAGTGAATGCATCTGATATTGCTCATTTAGAATATGTGCCTTTTTCTTTGGAGTTCGTTATACATGTTATATGAGCATATAGAGATAGTGATCCGGCGGCGGCGACAGCGTTAACCAACGACTTAACTAAAGTTTCATATTTTAGAAGGAAGAACACCTGGATGCTTCATACTTTAGATGCCTTATGTTATGAAGTTTCCGTCTACCATATGTCCATTGCATTGTCCTTGACCTCATTGTCATGGTTTAGTGACTACTTGAAAAAAGATTTTTTGTAATGTTAATTTCTCTCTTATTATGAGTAATATGATAACTATATTTGGTATGTGCGTACCTTGGCAAGGTCCTCATGTCTGTCGGACAGTTTTCACTTGACCTCGACCTCATTTCATTGATCAGTGAACAAGGTTAAGTTTTCGTGGTCAAGTTCAAATCTCAAATACTATAATCAATAGATCTACTATATTCGGTATATGGAATGATTTAAGGTGTACATGTCCAACTGACAGGTATCATCTGACCTTGACCTCATTTCCATGGTTCAGTGGTTTAAGTTAAGTTTTTGTGTTTTGGTCTGTTTTTTTTTTAATATTGTATGCAATAGGTCAACTATATTTGGTGTATGGAAATATTTTACGATGTACATGTCGTCTGGCAGGTTATATTGACCTTGACTTCATTTTCACGGTTCATTGCTCAATGTTAAGATTTTGTGCTTTGATCTGTTTTTCTTAAACTATAAGCAATATATCAACTATATTGGGTGGATGGAATGATTGTAAGGTGTGTATGTATGTTTGTCTGGCAGGTATCATCTGACCTTGATCTCATTTTCATGGTTCATTGGTCAATGTAAAGATTCCTGGTAAAGTTTGTTTCTTGTATACTGTATGCAATAAGTCAACTATATTTGATGCATGGAATGATTGTAAGGTGTACATGTCTGTCTGTCAGGGTGCATCTGACTTTGACCTCATTTTCATGGTTCATTGATCAATATAAATTGTTCATGGTTTGATCTGTTTCTTGTATACTATAAAAATTGGTCAACTATATTCGGTCGGTGTATGGAATGATTGTAAGGTGAAACATGCATTTCAAAAGTCTGGCTTGGCTTATAAGACGTTGACCTCATTTTCTTGGATCATGTTAAGTTAATGTGATACTTGTAGTAAAACTTTATATTTAGGACTATCAACATAAAATCAATGGTCAGTAAAGCAGGCGAGACAGTTTAGCGTGTGCACTCCTAGTTTTTTTAGGCAGTGGCTATTTTGATGGCGCCGGCAAAATAGAAAATATGATATTTTACCGGCTCTAGGTAAGCGGAAGCCAATTTTGCCAGTAAAAACTATTTTGTTCACAGTCATATCTATACTACTAAAATAACGAGGTCCAATTTGTTAGCCTGCATGACGTAAAAACAACGAATAAAAAAATTCAACTTTAAATATAACTAATATAGGACAATGGTTGATTAAAAATTACACCATTCCAGCCCTTTTGTTTTCCACATACTGTAATTAATAAAAAATATTACCAATAATTAACAAGTTCCGAGTCGAATCCGATACCGATACCAATAGTATATGTATGTATGTATGTTCTGTATCTTCTTCTTTTATTAGGAACACCAACATGGGTTGGGAGGAAATTTAACACACTGTATCATTACAGATTTAATATGAGCATTTTCCTACCCAGATCCCCAGCCTGGCCGTGACGGGTCATACTACCAGTCACATGTAGTTTCCAGTAGTTTGTAGTAAGAAAACCAGGACGGGTTCAAAAAGAAAGATTTTGAAAGCAGAGAAACTGTGCACCTTATAATCAGCGTGACTTTTTCAGATGACAATACAAATACTAAAAATCCAGGCTAAAAGTAAGATGTAGGTACTCTAATTCAGTCTCGGACCGCGTTCTAGTGCAATTTAACAAAAAATGACTATTATTTCAAAAGCATTTTTGTTTTTATTTTGAAGCTGTGCGATTGATTTTGTTTGATTGTATAATGTTTATATGCAATGCAATGTTTAACTGATATTATCTTACAACATATGTTTAAAAAATCTGAGATTTTATTTCTTATGCATTCATGTAGCATTATACTGTTACTGATTTTATTAGTACATTGTAATTTCAACTACATGTTTTGATATGATTTCATCGCTGCAAATGAATGCTCAATATTTTTATCTTTATTTCTTTTTACAAATTCTTATTTTCATTTTGACTGATATTTTAAAACAGTTATATGTATCTCAAATAGGAGCAGAGTGATTTAAGTAGTCGAACTACTGTATGTCAACACAGAGCCGAGGATGTGAGTTCGAATCTCGTACATGCTAGGTGCGCTCGACTACAATCTTAATTTACTAGGATTGTCTGTTTCCTACCGAAGGTCTGTGGTTCTCTACGGGCACTCCGGCTCCCTCCACCAATACAAACTAACCGCCACGAAATGTCACAATAGTGCTGAAAGTGACGCCAAGTTAAACATCAATCAATTAATTAATCAATGGATCTCAAATCAAATTTGTTAAACCACCTCTGTCATCATCATCATCATCATCATCATCATCATTTTTGTCTAAAATGGAAGTGGCCGCAATTGTGTTCAGTCTTAATATTTAAATATATGTTGTATTTGATGATAATACATAACATATATAAAGGTTCAGACTGAACACGAATGCGGCCACTTCCATTTTAGACAAAAACCATCAGAAAAGTGACGTTTTATGGCACATTTGATAGATTTTTCTCATTTAAGCTTGAATTTGAGCGTCTTTAATGACCAAATCAGTTCAAATCTTTTACATACACTAATTGAATCGACTGAAGAAGACACTTAAGTGTTTAAAAAATGACAAAAATCTTTCATCAGATGTACTTCGAATTTTAGGCCAAAACTAGCCCTTACCGGACTTTCTCCTTTGTTACTGGTATCTTCTTTTAGTATATGAGTAATAATTTGATTCTTTTATGTTGACAATGCATTTTTTAGGTACTTTTCAAAAGTAAATATAAAAATTCACTCTTTACAAAGAACCGGCAAAATAACAAATCTACTATATTTCCGGCGCCGGCAAAATAGCCATTAATATAGAAACGTGCTATTTTTCTGGCTTTAATTTAGATATTTTAATCAGAGCCGGCAAAATAGCCACTTCCTTTTTTTACACATAGGAGAAAGCATTTTGTTAGTGCTGCCAAGTTCTTCCATTTGAAGGTCCAGAATCATGTTTTCTGAATAGTTCCAATATGCAGAGCACATGAGTGTTTGCAATGTTTATTTCATGTGATTATAATCGTTTTTCATTTATGGATTTTTATTTGATTTTTATGCAAACGTTTTCTTTTGTGAATTTTTATTCGTAGGTGGTCTGTAATCCATGGCAATTTCATTTTGTGTTTTATATACTATTTTGTGGTACATTTGCATTAATGGTTTTTATAAGGTCGTCTTTTCAGTCCAGCAACAGTTTGCTTACTATTGTCATAAATTGTTTTGATCATTCCTACTAGTAATTAGATGTGTTTTTTTTTATGTTTTCACAATTTATTTTATGGGATTGCTTTTTTTTCTAGGCGCTTATTTATTTTTTATTTCC